TAGAGTAACTTATGGTGTACATAATCGGCCCACCGAACGCACAATTCGCCGTACGGTCGAAAAATTTGAAACCCAATTTTCATTATTGGATAATACCCGACCAAATAGACCACATCCAGCACGCAGTGAAGAAAATATAGCTGCGGTAGCGGAGAGTATACGTGAGGAAGGTGAAGAATCGATTCGGCGCCATTCTCAACAGCTTGGCTTGTCGTATTCAACAACTTGGCGTATTTTACGTAAGAATCTTAATTTGAAACCATACAAAATTCAACTCGTTCAAGAATTGAAGCCGGCCGACCTTCCAAAGCGTCATCGTTTCAGTCTTTGGGCTCTTGCACGGCTTGAAGAAGATCCGATGTTTCGAGCAAAATTTTGTCTAGCGATGAGGCCCATTTTTGGCTTAACGGCTACGTTAATAAACAAAACTGTCGTATTTGGGGTGAAGAACAACCCGAAGTGGTTCAAGAGCTGCCATTACATCCAGCGAAAACAACGGTTTGGTTTGGTTTATGGGTCGGTGGAATCATCGGTCCCTATTTTTTTAAAAATGAGGCCGGTCAGAACCTAACTGTGAATGGTAATCTCGATGACATTTGGTTCCACACAGCCCGTGCAACCATGGCTTTATTGCGAGAAGATTTCGATAGACACTTAATTTCACGATTTGGACCAGTGAATTGGCCACCTAGATCATGTGATGTCACACCTCTAGACTTTTTCCTTTGGGGCTACGTTAAATCCAAAGTCTACATTGATAAGCCCAATACGATTGAGGAATTAGAAGCCAACATTACGCAGGTCATTCGCCAAATTCCAGTCGAAATGCTCCAACGTGTCATCGAACATTGGAACTTTAGAATGGACCATCTCAACCGCAGTCAGGGCCAACATTTGAAAGAAATAATATTCAAAAAATAAATGTCAAAATTAGTTCTTTTCTTTAATAAAAAAGATTTGACAAGAAAAAAGAATTTTGTTATTTTATTTTGTTGCTGAAAAAAGTACCTATAAATGAATCGCCCATTATATTTTGTTCTTTGAGAATTTTACGACCGTTTTTAGGAATAAAATTTCCGAAAATAAAAAAGCTTCACAATTGATACACCCAGTTAAAATGGGTCTTCCACATTTATGTAGTGTTAAACAGTATCTTAAGATAACCATATAGAGAATAAACTTGAGGATATAAGACCGGAGATCGAGCAGGTCATGAGTCATATTCAGTTTCCGTATGTTCCTGTTAAAATGCCTCAATAAAAATGAACCTTGTGGATTTGAAAGAGCTCAGCAGTGCATGACGAGGATATAGTAGTCTTGAATTCTAAAGGGTGTCCCAAAATTAACGCAAGATTTGAATTTGCCGCCATTTGTGCAGTGAAGTGTTGGCAACCCTGAAAAAAAGCAATTTGACAGCTAACAGTATAGGGTTATGAAAAATGGAGCGTTACACGATAGAACAACGTGTCTTCATTATTAAAGAATATTTCAAAAATAGTGAAAGCTTGGCGGCTGCAGTTCGAAAATTTCATACAAAATATGGCCGGAATAGTGTTTTAACTTCGTCATCTGTGAAGAGATTAATTGAAAAATTCATGGAGACTGGATCCGTTGGAGACGCCAAACACACTGGTCGTCCAAAAACAAGCCGTTCAAATGTGAATATCGAAGCAGTGCGTGAGAGTGTTGCGGACAATCCAGGAACCTCAATTCGACGTCGTGGACAAGAATTGCAAATGTCAAGAACCTCTCTACAGCGTATACTCACCAAAGATCTGTGTCTTCATGCTTACAAACTTCAATTAACACAACAATTGAAGCTTAATGACCATGCAGAGAGAAGAGAGTTTGTTGAATGGATTATTGAACATCAACAAATGGACCCTGATTTTTCAAGCAAAATCATCCTAAGCGATGAAGCACATTTTCATCTTGATGGCTTTGTCAATCGCCAAAATTGCCGCATTTGGGGTTCGGAGAACCCACGTGTGATTGTCGAAAAAGAAATGCACCCACAACGCGTGACTGTCTGGTGTGGATTTTGGGCTGGAGGCATAATTGGGCCATATTTTTTTGAAAATGATGCTGGTCAAGCAGTGACTGTTACTGGTGCTCGATATCGCGACATGATTACACAGTTCTTTCTGCCAAAATTGAATGATATTGATGTACCCAATATGTGGTTTCAACAAGACGGTGCCACATGTCATACAGCCCGTGAAACAATTCAATTACTGCATGAGACATTTCCCGGTCGTGTACTCTCTCGTTTCGGTGATCAAAATTGGCCTCCTAGATCGTGTGATTTATCACCATTAGACTTCTTTTTATGGGGTTATTTGAAATCACAAGTCTATGTCAACAAGCCCACAACCACCCGTGCATTAAAGGAGGAGATTCAACGCTGCATCAACGAAATTCAGCCACATTTATGCAGAAGGGTCATGGAAAATTTCGACAAAAGAGTGCGCATGTGCATGCAAAGCCGTGGAGGCCATTTGTCCGATGTGTTATTCCATACATAACCCTATCCTATGTACTTTATGAGTCAATAAAAATATAACTATTAAAAGACTAAAAATGGCATTTTCTATTTAATTCAAATCTTGCGTTAATTTTGGGACACCCTATAGCTAGAAGTGCCTAGATATTTAGACAGTTTTTGAAAAATAAGAACCGTTGGATGAATTTTTATTAACAAAAATGCGAAAATCTTTGCGCAGCACATTTGCAAGGAGCGCTTTTTGGCGAATCGTCGACAGACGAAATAGAATAATCCGAATGATCATACTTCGAACTTTTACCGCAAGTTTAGGGAGCACCCTTCATAGATACACATTACCTTTATGACCTGCTTAACTGAATAATTTCCGAGAACACGTTTTTCATATCTTGTACCATAAAATAAAGCATTCCTAGTATTTATCAGGTCATACCTTTCAAGGGCAGCCTTTTAAAGGAATGTACCTAGGTAGGTGTCTAGAAGGCATTATAATTACTTTGTTCCAAGAAAACTGCTGATAATATGGAATTCCTGTGATATAAGAAAACACTATGGCGGATTTGAACATTTAAGACTCATTAGGATGGTATCACGTTACAAATGTTAAAGCTATGTTTTCCAGTAATTACCATTTATCTAATATTTGCTTGGAAACTGGATACTATGACATTTATGCCTCCTCTCTCCAAATTGTCTTATCCGACCTCCATCGCTACCTCAGACCAATAAGCATATTGCCATCAGTGTCACTCCTCTGGCTTTGATGAAGTTGCTTGCAACTCCATTAGGTCATATTTAAGGGGATGGAGACAAAAAGTAAATATTAAAATATTCAATCAGGAGTACCACAAGGCTCAGTGCTGGGACCTTCGGTGTTTTTACTTTATACTGCAAATTTATATGATAACTTCATGACTGCGCGTGCTCAATTTTTTGCTAATGATACGCTGTTGAAGTGTGACTTTAATGCCGACAATGTCCAATGGCGCTAGTAAATGCAGATATTGACAGTGTTAATAGGTACTGTATCTTTCACAACTTAAGACTAAATCGCTCGGAACATTCTTCCATATTATTTGGCAATAAATTGTGTGAAAATATCAAGCCATTAATTGATATCAAAAATAATGGGGAGGAACTTGTTTTCTGAAAAAGAAAAAAATTGACACGGACTTACGATACTGCCATCTAAATAACGCCTTAAAGAATTTTTATCTATCCCTCAGGATTCTGTTTGCAAGCAAACATATTCTGCATAGAAACCAAAATTAAATTATGGCCAAACCTAGTTATTTCTAAAATATCATATTTACTACCCTTGTGTTCTATTAACGCAAAACGTTTGAAGATAATGCAGAAAACCTGTGTGAGGTTTACCCAAAACCTTTTTGTTCATTTATGCGCTTGAACTAAATATAACAGACAGATATTGTTATAAACTTGATAGGCAGTACCTGAATTGTAATTCAATATTTGGTTCAGGCTCAGCATTAATGGCAGTGATCGACCATTTATATACCAACTTATCACACAATGGAAAACGCATCGCAATTAGAAAAGTAAACAATCAGTAAACATAATTCATCGTTTATACTGATCGAGTTGATAAAATCATTAAACCATATAAAATTATCGATCAACAATTATTAAGCTTTTTCGTCCAAAAAAATAAAGCATGCAACTTAAAATTTCTGACCAATTTTCTGTGAACGTTTTTAGAAGTTATCCGAGAATGACTGAATATTAATAATAGCTAGAGTTGAAAGTTGTTTGTTGTATAAAAATTGTATATCAAAACGGAACGAAATCAGGATGAAAGACCAAAAAGAGGAAATGTTCTATTATGAAAATTATAATAGTTGATACTTCACATAGATGATATCCAGATCAAGCAAAAACGCCAAGATTAGGCAGGAGGAACATTATATTTGTTCTAATCGACTATTGAAATCACCAAAAATTACCAAAGTTTTACTTGTTTTAGCAATAAAAAATATTATGGTTTTTATATTCTTATCTGTTTGCAATAGTTTCTGTAAATAGAGAAACAATCTTTTGAAAAAACCTGTCTCCTAATGTAACTTATGAGCTATATAGATCGTGTCAGGAACATTTGAGACCAGATTCTGAAAGTAAAAATATGGAAAACTCCCCTCCGTTTTCATACAAGGTGTCTAAATTTGTCTTTGAAAAATTGTATGCCACAGGTTTTTTAAAAAATGTGTCATTTTTTCAAAGCCATATTGATTCTGCTTGAGAAGTGTCCCTTTGATTTCTCGTCATGTTTAAAAAAGATCCAGCTGATAATTATTTTTTAAAACGATATATAGAATGATAAATAAAATAATGTTTATGTCGTAAATGGTGTATAGGAACTAAAAACCCGGACTTACTCTGGCTTAAATATATCGATACTATTTTTTTTTCGAGAAATAAAAATTATATTATCTGAATCTGCCCGTTAATTTTCCTGACATCCTGTCACACCCTGACTAACCTCAAGAATCCTTCGGAAAACAGCCCGGGAAAAGCCCAGTATAAAAAACCAAGGAAAATGGTAAACTCCAACACACTCTCCATAGTCCAACTTATGAAAATTCCACACAAATTCACCATTTTTTCACTTGTTATGTCCAATCTATTCAACAAGTCATTCTATCAGAAATTACTACTGATATATCGAATCAGTCTGCATTGATAAAGGTGCACAAGCAAAAATCATATAATTTCTTTCGTTGCACGAACTTGCCACTAAGCAAGTTTCAGATCTATTATGCTGAATTCAAAGTTCCGCGATATAACACTTTCCGCTACGACGTTATCAAAAATCCGGATCAAAATCGATTCGTTTCTCAAGTACTTTCACAATATCGTAACACAAGACCGACCAACCGTCTACGCTATCGCGTCGGCACCCTTCGCTCGAAAATTCAAACAGTCGAATAACTGTTCGGGGTTGCAAGTTGCAAGGCACCCCTTGATTCACTGTGCCCTGTGGCTCGCACTGGCGGAGTATCCGATAAACAAAACACAGCGTGCGTCTGTCAAGAGTGGTCGCGGCTTGCTGCGTTTTTATAAACTGAAAGCGTGGCTCGGACTCCTATTGGCTTTAGGCCGTAGACAAGTGACTGTCGGTTCGACGGAAGGCGGCTCTGTGAAAGGTTGCGACGTTGAGACGGTGTTAATGCACTCGAGGAGGCAGGGTCGTGCTTTGAATGGAAATAGCTTTCCATGCATGACTGCATGACTTGAAGGCTTTAAGACAATTTTAGCGATCAGCGTTTAGGGCGAGGAAAATATTCTGGATTTTAGTTCAGAAACGATGTTTTATCATGAATTAAGTTCGAAACAAAGCGGCAGTAACGCAAACCAATGAAACCTGCGGTGCTGTTGCGACTTGTAGAACTTCCGGTTTCACTGTTTTTTCTCTTAAAACTTTTAGTCTGATAGATTATTTAGGAACAAAAAAAGTGTGGATGAAGCACGCTTTTCATGAAAAATTTTTCCCAAAACGTATTTTTAGCTGTTCTTTCCATCATTATTTCCACCGCCATCTATCTGCCACATGACGTAGACCTCTGTGCATATGTCATATATGAGAGGCACTTGCCTGCGTTGCTGCCGGATTGAGCTCCGCATTTAGGGAAAAATATGAAAACTTGAAAATTTATATACATACGTACATTAATTAATAAATCACAAAAACGAAAAACTGAAACAAACAACAGTAGCAAACTAAAAGGCGATTCCTAATAAGTATAAATCAAAAAATAACAGTAGTAAGCTAAAAAATGATGAATTATAAATAATTATAAAAAACATACAAACAGTAGTAAAACAAAACCTAATTCCATGTAATTATAAAAATAAAAAAATTACAAACAGCAGTAAAATAAAAAGTAGTAAAACAAAAAAAAAACAATTCCATGTTGAATAAAAAGCAATTCAAATCAAAAAGTCAAAATAGTAGTAAAACGAAGAACAATTTCATTCCATCCAAATTGCTTTTTATTTTAATGTTTGTTATTTTTAGTTTTTTTATAATTAAATGGAATTGTTTTCTGTTTTACTACTGTTTTCATTTTTTGTTTTTTATAATCACTTTGCTTTTTATTTTACTGCTGTTTGATATTTTTTGTTTTATACTTAGTAAGAATCACTTTTAATTTGACTACTGTCGTTTGTTTCAGTTTTTGTTTTTGTGTTTCATTAATATAAATGTATACTAAGTGACATATAAATCCGAACACCCAGTTTAAATGGTTTTATTTTAATAAAAGTTGGTGAATGTATTTATCTTACTGTAAATAACAAGTGAAAAAAATTTCAGCCTTATCAGTTGGACATTCCGGTTTTTATACTGCTTTTTTTTAATTCACTAACGCTCTAAAAATGAATATTTCAGCCGCAGTAAAGAATCAACGTTGGCGAATTTTGGTTCTTGACATCCTTTACGATCGGTTACGATGCCTAGAGTACGGAGACCTGTACGATTTCGTCAACTTAGTAAGTTTGATAGGGGCCGTATAGTGTAACTTCGGGAAGCTGGACTTTCTTTTCGGGCAATTGCAGTTAGAGTGCAAAGAAGTGTAGACACTGTGGTTAGGTGTTGTCAGGCATGGCTTCGAGAAGGCCGTACGCAAAGAGCAAGGGGCACTGGACGCCGCCGTAGAACAACAGACCGTGAAGATCGCCGCCTAAGATTATTGGCCTTAAGGGACCGTTTCTCCACTACCAGGTCCATTGCAAATGAATGGTTTGCAGAACACGGAAGACCTATTAGCATGCGAAGTGTTTACCGACGAATGAGAAGTTTTGGCTTGTTTTCATACCGGCCACACTGGGTCCTCCCTTTAACTCGAGAACACCGACGTAATCACCTTGAGTGGTGCAGACAACGGTCACTCTGGGATCAGGAATGGAACAGTATTGTCTTTAGTGACTGGTCGTGCCAGGGTTAGAAGGCGACGTGGTGAAAGGAGGAATCCACAGTTTTTTGTTGAAAGACATGTTCATCACACTGTTGGAGTTATGGTTTGGGGTGCTATAGCTTATGGTTCCAGGTCACCTTTAATCTTCATCAGAGGTAACATGAACGCGCAGCGTTATATCCACGAAGTTCTAGAACCCCATCTTTTACCCTATCTTGACACCCTGGCAGGTCCAACTTTCCAACAAGATAATGCCCGACCACATGTTGCAAGAGTCACAATAGACTTCTTTCAACATAATGATGTCACATTGTTACCATGGTCACCAAGATCTCCCGACTTACCCCCAATTGAGCACGTGTGGGATATGATGGGTAGGAGATTGCTCAATTTGCAACGTCTTCCTCAGACTCTAGAAGCACTTCGAGAGGAGTTGGTGGTTGCCGGGAATGAGATACCACAGGAGGACATTGACCACCTGATCAGAAGTATGCCTAGTCGCGTTGGAGAATGCGTAGCACATCAGGGTGCATCCACACATTATTAAAGGTCAAAGGGCTTTAAAGCAGTGCAATCATTTTGAAATTTTTATCATTTACTTATTATGCTTCATTAAGTACTTATACAAAATTTTATTAAAATAAAACCACTTAAACTGGGTGTTCGGATTTATATGTCACTAAGTATATATAAATTTTCCACTTTTCATATTTTTCCCTAAATACGGAGCCCAATCCGGCAACACCGCAGGCAAGCGCGTCTCATATATGACATATCCACAGACGTAAACGTCAAATGGTAGATGGCGGTGGAAATAATGGGGGAAATAACTGCTAAAAAATACAGTGTTTTGGGAACAAAATTTCATGAAAAGCGTGCTTCATCCACACTTTTTATGAAGTAAAATAATTTATCAGACTACCCTCTATAAGTTTCAAGTGAAACAACAGTGAAATCCGAAGTTCTACAAGACGCGACAGTACCGAAACCTGCAACGACCTGTTTCGAGAGCAGTCGGGTGATTTTAGCAAGAAAGAAAGTATCAACATTTTATTTCCTGTGGTTTCCATGTTTGTAGCACTCTAGTGTCTAGGCGAGTCAAACCACATATACCGAGTGTTTCAAATTCGACTCTGATCATTGGGTACCGAGATCCCAATAGATACGAAGTCGCTTAGATGGCGGCAAAGTTGCAAGTACTTCCGAATAGAGACGAAAAAAAAACGAATTTTCCCAAAATCGTTTGTTTTTTTCTGGCTTTATTTGTGTTGAGATTTCCAAATAAATTGCACATTAACATTGCCACTTTTTCTACTCTACAAGATGGTATATTTATAATTACAATATGACGCTTCGTCTCTGGTCCTCCAGCATCAATTATTTTTTATTATGGACGCCATATTGAATATTTGCACAGATGAATAGTTTTTAATTTTGATTCCAAAAATGTATAATGCGTCATGCATTGACATTGCCAAGCCTAAGATATTTAAAAAAAACAGAATTTCCTAGGTAGGGCTTGAAATTATCAGATAGTCATTATTTATTGCTCATACCAGATGTATCCCTAAATCATTTTTATTTTTTCCTGACTTTATTTGACATGGGATTTCAAAATCAATTGCACGTTTGTATTCTCGAGTCTCCTCTACAAGACTGCGCAGTAAAATTTGGAACTTTGTACATTTAAATTGACTTTTCAGTTGTAAATTCAGTGAGGTATTTCCTTAGTTGGCCTTGAATTAGTTGTTGGATGAAAATTATTAAAGTAACTAAGAAAATGGAACTTTCAAAGTTTCGCATTTCAGAAAATCGTTTTTATTTTTCCCTGGCTTTGTTTGAGTTGGGATTCCAAAATAAAAAGTACACTAACATTTATGACTTTCGAATCTCTTTGATGAATTGAATAAAATGCAGCATTTTGCAAATATGTATGTATGTAATGGACACAAACGAGTAAAAAATCACCAGATTTGATAAAAAATCACAACACCTGGCAACACTGATCAATTTGTAAGTGCATCGATGACAGCGTGGAAATAAGAAGGAAGCGTAGGCCTGTTTTTTTTCTCTTTTAAAAGTCAGTTTTGACTTACGCTGTGTTAGCGACGATCCAACGATCAAACTATAATTACTCATTTAATTCACTAGAGACGGACTAGCCACAAACGCAATACCTATATTACTTTTTTACACCTTTATATAATAGTAACAGCAAAATATTTTTGGAAATTGGAATGCATGCTTCGATAATTGAATATCCCGCGGTCGATTCCTACTCTTATTGAAAATGTTCTTATGTATCCTTGCTATATTACCAATTACTGTAACGATAGCAGAGAGATCCTTTTCTAAGGTCAGGAAATATGGAACATGTCGCCTAACTGGACTTTATATGTCCGAAAAAGATGTACATGACGATACAAAAAGTAGTCGCAAATCGATTTGCAAGAAGACAAAAAAGATGAGTCCTATATGACTTCGATGGCCATGGGTACAATAGTATCACCCTGTATTTCTGTCATGTAATTTCTGATAATAAAACGATACTAGTTAGAAGTTGTCACCGATGTTGCAAAACAAATAACATTTTGTAAGTGCCCAACAGACCCGAAAATTAGAATATCCTGTACAATGAAGGAAATGTAGGTAGTTAAAACGTGTACTTTTTGCGGATGCAGCGACGCAACATTATCAGAAAATTACAGTTTTCATTCACTTCACCTATTTGCAATTGTTATAAACGAACATTGACCATATAACAATACATACTTTCGCATAGTTAGTTTTTGTCCCGTATAACCAATGTCCAACGTCCATTTCTCGTAAATCCATCACTTATTTTGTTTGCATTTTGTTACCACGCAGTACCTTATCTTCAATCAGATATGTATACCTTAATACTATCATAAATTAAAAAATATGTTCAAGTGTAAATGGAAAATAAACAACAGTAAAAAGGAACAAATCATAATTTGTGAAAAAAAAACAAAGGATGCATACACACACACACACACACCAAACAAACAGATACAAGATCAACGCACAAGGGGCAACTAATAACATTGATTAACATAGTCTCCCTAATGCTATATTCCTGCGTCCAAAAAAAATATCTGAGATAAAATGTAGCATCATCTATGAGAATTTGTCATAGCTGTTTCTCTATTTGCTATATAAACTTTGAAAGGGCCTATATATGAGCATATACAAACATATATAAGACACTACCCTAGACAGCTACATGCTCGTATACCTTTTTAAAGTATACTGTAGTTAGTGTTAGAGAGAAATAGTTGTGACAAATTCTCATAGATAACACTGGTATCCCATTTTATCTAATTTTGCGGAAATCTAACATTTGGTTGGCTCAG